AGTACGAAACGTCCCTCGTTTCCCGTGTTTGGACTAACTCCTATTCCAAACACAATGCAACAAATAACATGGCATGGCATACACAATGCGGCTCAAGGATGCAAACATTCAATGCAATGAAACAAGCATATGAACACGATACAAGCAGGCCCTTTGGTTGGATTTGGAAACAGAAATCTAGATTGAATTGGAATCTTCAAGGGGACAAAAACACGAGATTTTTTCATATTGTCGCGACCAGCAGACAGAACAAAAACTTGTTGAACTCATTTGTTGTTGATGGGGTGTTGTATGAAGATCCCTGTAGTGTTAAGCAGGAGGTGTTTAATTACTTCAAGAAGAGATTTTCAGAAGAGTGGACTTCAAGGCCTAAGCTTCAAGGCCTCTTCAGAACCATTGGGAGTGATGCTGTTTCAGATGGGTTAATTGCACCATTCTCTGAGGAGGAGATATGGAGGGCTGTGAAGATGAGTGATGGCAATAAGGCTCCAGGACCGGATGGGTTTAACCTGTCTTGCTTTCAGAAGTGCTGGAAGGTATTTAAAAAAGAAATCTTGCAGTTCTTCAAGGAATTTTATGATAATGGGCGTTTAGCCAAAGGTATTAATAGTTCTTTCATCACGTTAATTCCTAAGAAAGATTGTCCGGAGGGCATCTCTGATTATAGACCAATCAGCCTTATTGGGTCTATTTACAAGATTTTGTCCAAGGTCCTAGCAGACAGATTCAAAAAGGTACTTCCAAGGATAGTTGGGGAAGCTCAAACAGCCTTTGTTGGTGGAAGGAATATTCTGGATGGGGTGTTAATATCTAATGAAATTGTGGATTGGTGGAAGAAGAAAAAGCAGAAGGGGTTGATTTTGAAATTGGATTTTGAAAAAGCTTACGATAATATAAATTGGGAGTGTTTATTAGCTATGTTGTCCAGCCTTGGTTTTCAAAATAAGTGGATCGGGTGGATAAAGGAATGCTTGCAATCATCTAGAGTTTCAATCCTTGTGAATGGCTCACCCACGGCTGAATTCTGTCCGGAAAAAGGACTCCGACAAGGGGATCCATTATCGCCGTTTCTCTTTACAATTGTGGCAGAAGGTCTTAATATGTTATTTCAAAGGGCAAAAGATTTGGGGATTATTAAAGGTGTGGTTATTGGCAATAGGAGGATTAATGTCACCCATTTGCAAGTTGCGGATGATACTATTGTGTTCTGCGAGGCTGATGAGCGTGAAATGTTGAATATAAAACAGGTTCTGAGATGTTTTGAAGTGATGTCTGGTTTACGAATAAACTTCCATAAGAGTATGGTCTGTGGGGTGGGAGTTCAGGAGGAGGTGCTGGAGGGTATCGCTGAGAAGCTGAACTGCCAGGGTCAAAAGCTACCTTTCACTTATCTCGGGCTACCTCTTGGGGCCAGTCCAAAAAAGAAGCAGACTTGGTTGCCAGTAATAAATAAATTCAAGTCTAGATTAGCTTCTTGGAAGAGAAAGGTTCTATCTTTTGGGGGGAGGTTAACTCTGATCAAGTCAGTGTTAAATTCACTACCAGTGTTTTATTTATCTGTATTTAAAATTCCAGTGGGTGTAGCGAAGTTGCTTGATAAAATCCAAGCCAGATTCTTGTGGGGAGGCAATGAAGTCAAAAAGAAGCTTCATATGGTAAAGTGGGAGGAGATCACCAAAAAGAAAGGGTGCGGAGGTTTGGGCATTAGAAGGCTGAGGGATGTTAATGAGTGTCTCTTAGCAAAATGGTGGTGGAGATATGGTGGTGAAGATCAAGCACTGTGGAAAGAGATTATCAACAGTAAATATAGTAGCTATGGTGGAAGATGGAGGCCTCTTCCGGTGGAAGGTGGTCAGTGCTCCAGAATCTGGGGTGACATTCTAAGTCTAGAACACAGCAGCCCCAATCTCTTCAGTTACTTCATGGAGAATTCCGTTATTAAAGTTGGGAATGGGAGGAGAATTAGTTTTTGGGAGGATCATTGGTCTTCGAATTGCAGCCTGAGGAGTATGTTTCCAAGACTTTTTGATCTGTCAGTTAACAAAGAGTCCACTCTTAAACAGATGATTGACAGGAGAAATAGTTCAGATGGGTGGAGTTTTCTATTCAGAAGAGTCCTGAGGGCTTGGGAGGAACATGAAGTGGGTAGACTTAGAGCTTACCTATCTACACATGAGCCAGTTTTAGCAGCTAGAGTTGACTCCTGGGTTTGGAAAGCCTTAACCTCAGGTATGTTTACTGTGAAATCATTATATAGCAGGCCTGAGGCAGCACTTGGGGTGGAGGTTGATAGGTGGATTTGGAAAAATTTATCTCCACCAAAAGTGCAGTTTTTTGGTTGGCTCGCTTGGAAGGGTAGAATTAAGTCCAAAGCTTTCCTTCAACATGTGGGGTGCCTTAATCCGGATACTACAACAGAGTGTGTGTTTTGTGGGTATACTGTTGAAACGGATTGTCATGTGTTGGTTCAGTGCATGTTTGTTTGGAAAATTTGGTCCAGAATTTTGTCCTGGTGGGGGATGCAATGGGTGATTCCTAAGAATGCTAGAGGGGTGCTGGAGTGGTGGAGTGGGTACAAGTGGGGTAAGCTTGAAACCAAGATTTGGAATGTAATTCCATTCGCTGTGTTATGGTCTATTTGGACTTTAAGGAATGAGTGCATTTTCAAGGGTAAACAGCCCTTCTTAGAGGAAGTCTGCGATCTGATCAAAACCAGAATTGCTTTGTGGATTAAATATAATTCTAGGCTTTTGCATTATTCAGTCCATGATATGGTTGAGAATCTGGAGCAGGTTCGCAGGTGTGTAGGGGGTAGGTGATTGTGTCCTTGCTTGCTGGGTGGAATCTCATGATGGTCAGGGATTGTTTGGCTTGCTGTGCTGCTGGATCTGCTTCAGTACTCCTGTGAAGATCAGAGGAGATTCATGGAGGTTTGCTGGTATCTCTGGATGAGTGTCTGCCTGGGATTGTTTAGAAGTGTCCTTGAGCCTTATACTGCTGGTATTATTTGCTGAAGTGTCCAAGAATCTGCTCTGGTTTGTTGCTGCTCATGTCTTCTTTGCTTCAGTTGGCTGGTGCTGTTCTATCTGGGCTTGTTGGTCCTGATCTGCTGTAGCGTATAATGCTGAGATTGAGTAATTTGTGCTGATCTGAAGTGATGTGGTGATGATGGTGGGCTACAAATTGATGTGGTTTTGGGTTACAAATTGAAAGTTTTGATTGTGTGCTATACTTCAGTTCCACAGTACTGCCATGACATTAGGCTGCTGTTTTGTTCTGATAGCTTCAGTGTTGAGTCTGCTGCAAATATGGCATGCTGGGGTCTGCTATGGAGTGGTATGCATATCTGTGGTCTGCTATGTGGTTAGTCGGATGGAGATGTAATGCTAATGCTAGCAGTATTTTGGCTGGGTCTGCAATCAGCTTGTGGTGTCTAACTGGGTGAAGGACTACAATTCTGGCTTGATCTTTGAGCTTGTGTGGGGTTTGGTGGAGCTTCTCAGTACTGGTACAGTGGCATGGAGCTTACGGTGTAGGAGTTTGGTTGAGTTTCTCTTCTGATCAGTTTGGTAGAGTTCCTCTTGCTGATGAGCTGCCAATTCGGACTGGCTGGTTTCTGCTGGCTGTTAGGAGTTTAGCTGCTAGGCTGCTATGCTGTTTTGTTTCTCACCTGTATTCTGTTTTGTTTCTCTTCTTGTTTTGTTTTGTTGGTTTCTCACCAACTGGAGGTTGGAGCTTCAATTAGCTCCAAGTTCCTCTTTGTTGCTGATCTGTATCTCTTTTTCTTGCTTTCATCTATATAGTTTTTCTTTGCCGATCAAAAAAAAATATATATACAATATATATAAACATACTAAAAAAATATTTTACCAAAATAATAATATCTACTACCACTATTGTATAAATATATTTTCTATACCTAGCTATTATTTACATTTATATTTTTTATATATATAAATAACATATGTATCTTATTTTTTATACATACTTTTATATTATTTAATATATAAATAATAAATATTAAACGAGTTAGCTAATGAGTCGAACTTCCGAGCCGAGCTTTAATATGTTTGAACTTGTTTATTAAAATGAGCTCGAACTCGAACACAAAAAAAAAAATTAACGAACCGAATTCGAACGAGCTCTTATTGAGCCGAGCTCAAGCTCTTTCACGAATGGCTCTATTTTTTTTGCAACCCTACGAATAAAGCATGCAATGACTTGTATTTTTTTTTATTGGGACCTTGAGAATATCTTGGTTGTCAAAACTATCATTGTTAAATTTTAGCAATAAAATTAAACATTTAATAACAAATTATTTTCTCATTTTGGGAACAAAATTTTCATCTAAAAAATTAAACCTTCTAGAACAAAATTAATTATTCTCTTAGAGTATATTTACTAGCGACATTTTAAAATTTTTGTTGGTAAGGTCATTTGTTGACTTTTTCAATTTTTCTTGATGACTCAAATGACGATTCAAATTAATCTCTTAATATTTTTTGTAACAAAAATTTTACTTTTGACATAAAAAGAAATTGGTTTCTAAAAATTTTATATATTATAGTGTTTTAGTGGAAATCGAATTGGAAGGTGTTGTCTGTATGTGGTTGTGGTGGTAGGGACAGAGGCACGTTGGGACGAAACGGGTCAGGTGACCCCTTCAACTTTGTAAAATTACATTTCTATCTCTATTTGACAAAAATTTTCAATTATTTTCAAAAATACCTTTTTATTTTTATTTTCCCAACAAAATCTTTGCAAAACTAATGAGATTAATCTATTAGTCAAAATCTTCATCAAAAAATAAAAAATAAAAAAATAATCTTTTAGTAGAAATCTTTATATTTCACTATGAGGTCAAAGATTCAAATATCTAAATACAATATATTTATTGATTGTATTCTATATGTATTTATTTACGTTTTTATTTCTTGTTTTAAGTATTTCTTTATATTCGTAACATGTTGCATTGATTTTCATTATAGTTATAATTCATTAGTTTTAGTGTAACGTGATTCATTAATTAAAAAAAATTACAAATCCCTTCAATTTGCCACTCTAAATGTTTAATTTTGTATAATATGTTTTTTATAAATTTTATATATTTTTTTTCTTTTCTTTCATTTCTTTGTTTTGCACTCTCTATTTCTATTTCTATTTCTTTTTCTTTTTCTTTTTCTTTTTTTTGTGTATATTGATGCTATTGTGTCGTTTTCATTTTTAATAGTTTTGATTGCATTTTAAATTATGATGATTATTATGTTCACAAAATTAAAATAGAAAATCAAATTAATAATAAATAAAAAATTAAAAAAAATAACAAAACAAATAAAAAAATCAGTTAAGTTGAGCATAACTTTAAGGAGTTTTCTTAAGTGTGCAAGTGCACACCATGTGCCAATTACACAAAAAGTGTAAGTGTAAGGTGTAAGTATAAGTATAAGGTGTAGGTGTAAGTGTAAGGTGTAAGGTGTAAGTGGGTTGCACATGGTGTGCAACCTCAAAAAAGGTGTAAGTGTAAGGTTTAATTTTTTACAAAAGGTGTAAGTGTAAGGTGTAAGTGTAAGGTATAAGGTGTAAGGTGTAAGTTGCACACCATAACCAAACCCTAACTTTAAACATATAACTTTGACATCGGACTCAATTGAAAATTGAAATCTATTACAATGTAATAAAACTTGCCAAGATTTTAATTCAACGGTGCCCCCTAAAGCAAAATTCTAACTCTGCCACTGGTGTGAGCCCTACTCCAAGTCTCTTGTGATGATCAAAATCGTTTAATGTGTAAGACTTATAGAGTACATTATTCTTGCAAAAAAAATTATGTTGATCTGATCTTGATAACTATTTATTAGATTATATTTGTATCAATATCAAATATGATTTTAGAAAAGGTAGCACAATACAAATAAAATTTGTATAAAAAAAATTATACAGAATGATGCGTCTTTTTTATAACCATTTATTAAGAATCAAAATAATTATCACTTTAATTCATAATTATAAAAATAATATTATCATATCGTAAATTTTGTATAAGATTATATATAAATATAATTTTACTTAAAATAATAAACATCCCTGGCTTTGAGTTTTTCATGAGAAGCTACGGACAGACGACGCAACTCTGATAGTTCTTTTTGTCGGCATTTTTCTTCCATCCATGTGCTTTAAATTTAGAGTAATGCTATAGATCACTGATTTGTTATCACTAATTCCATCACTATTGAAGTGATAATTGAAAAAAAAAAAAAAAAACAAAGCACAAAAATATTGTGACAGTGGATGAGACTCACTGTCACATCATTAGAGCAATCACTAATTAGTGGTCTAAAATATTTCTCGGACACGTAACTTCAATTACTTTGACCATTCCAAAAGCCTTCGGATATTCTATTATCCCACAGACTTGACGGTCCTGATTGATTCATGTAAGTCTTGTTTTAGGACTTGTTTGAGTCTATCTCCTAACTACTTTCCAATCTACCAAAAAATCAAAACTAAAAACAGAAAGTTTGGCCTTGTTTGATTTTGTTTTAAAAACAATTTTTTTGAGTTCGACCACTTTAAAATTTTAATAAATAAATTTAAATATGGTCGTTTAATATTTATTTAAATAATAATATAAATATATTATTTATGTATTAAATAATGTAAAAATATGTATAAAAAATAAAATAAATATGTTATTTATATATTTAAATAATATAAATAATAGCTAAATTTATTTATATTTCAATAAAAACTAACTATAGATAATATATTTATATAAAGTGGTGGTAGATATTATTATTTTGATAAAATATTAACCTTTCGTTTGGTATATGTGTTTATATATAATTGTTTAACTTTAGTTTCATATGTAAGTATGAATTTATAATTTTTTTTTATTCGCTAAAATTCATAAATAGGCTTGAACTCTAATTAAGTCTAAACCAATTCAACTCAAAAACTTGGGTCGTTAAATTTTTATTGAACTTAAGCTTGAACTTGCTAAAATCTTAACAAACTAGCCAAAGCATACTAATGTTCAGCTCAATTCATTTGCAGTCCTAGTATAACTAAAGACCTTTTCTATTATAATTAAAATAATAATTACAATAGATCATAATTAATATTACAATGAGCCATAATTAAATCATAACTAACACTACAAAATTTATAACTAAAGATCACAAATGTTATAACTAAAGCATGTAATACACACCACAAACTAAAGTGTAAATTGTAGAATTTTCCAAAATTTAAACCTCCCATTTCCTCTTTGGAGCACATTGGGCTTGTAATTCACAGGTTGGTTTTGGTTTCCTAGGACTTATTTTCTTATTTTGGATAAATAAATTTCAAGTAAATTTACTACCAATACCAAAGAACTTTTTTGAAAAAAAATTAAAATAAATTTTTTATCCAACCAAATTTTCTATGTACACACAGCTAAATGTCAATATATATATACGCATATAAAGATACATATGAATGTAGTCGGACCAATTTTTTAAAAAAAATAATTATAAAAAAAAAAAAAAAGAGTCGTGAGACTCAATAATATTATGCTTGGTCGTTATATTGACCACTATGGTGGCATATATATTTTTAATATACATTTTTTTTTTTTCTTCCTTTTGCATATTCCTAGGATGCCAGAAAAGAACTAGACTTGTAAGGTAAGGGAAGATGGTGCAGGAAAGAAAAATCATTATTCGGAAGTATAAGAATATCGTATTGGTATTATCTATATAATATTTTCATGCCAAATGAAAAGTAATAAAACACTTTTTAATTATTTAATAAAATTGAGACAGTATTACTTTAGAATAATTCTATACAAACTAAAAATCTTATTAAAAATATAAGAAGCCAAATGCGATTGGTTGTAAAAAAAATAATCATATTTAAGCATCCAATAATATTTGGACATATATGTTTTTAGTAAGATTGTTTGTAAGAATTTAAATATATGTATTATTTTTCAAAAAAAATTTGTTACATCATCGATTGAGATTATCACGTAAATAATATCACATAATATTCCAAAACTACTGAATAAATATCCAATTAGAATAAAGTAGAGACTTAAAAGCTACCATTGAATTATAGTAAATCTATTCAAAGTGAGTTCATGACCTTGTGGTCTACTAGCATAGAAACAACACTTTTGCAAGGTAGAAGTTGAAGGTTTAACTCCTCAAAATCTAATGTAACAATTAATACCTAACTTTTTTTTGATTAAAAAAAAAAATTCAAAATAAGTGTAGCCACCACCCCTTAGTCCATAGACAATCATGGATTCGCCACTATTTAGGTGGAAGTATCAACAGATTGGCATTTTATTATGTAATGGTGACTTGACGTCCATGGAAATTTAGGGAGATAGGATAACAATTTCAAGTCTATCAACATCTCTGAATTTTCTTTGCACAACTCATGGAGGTGATCGCGCATAAACCAAAAACTATATAGCCGCCTTGAAACTATATATAAACCCCTCAAATGTATGTCCACAAAACCACATCAATGCAATCCCATAAAAACTCCTAATACTTGCTTAAGCATATAACTCTAAGTCAGCAGCATGAGCTTCCCCAAAAGCCTTACCATTTTATTCCCTCTCCTCTTCACCCTATTGATCCCCTTCACCAATGCAGCTACCTTTGCTGTCCTAAACAAATGTACCTACACGGTTTGGGCCGCTGCCTCACCCGGTGGGGGTATGCGTCTTGACCCGGGCCAGTCTTGGACCGTCAATGTGAACCCGGGTACAACCCAAGCTCGCATTTGGGGCCGGACCAACTGCAACTTCGATGCCAATGGCAATGGCCAATGTCAGACCGGGGACTGCAATGGGCTCCTCCAGTGCCAAGGCTACGGTAAGGCCCCAAATACCCTAGCTGAATTCGCGTTGAACCAGCCCAATAACTTGGACTTTGTCGACATATCCAACGTTGATGGATTCAATATTCCAATGGACTTTAGCCCCACCACTGCGGTCTGCAAGTCACTCCGGTGCGCAGCTAACATAGTTGGCGAGTGCCCAGCCGAGTTGCAGACCCCGGGTGGGTGCAACAACCCATGTACCGTTTACAAGACCAATCAATATTGTTGCACTGATGGGCCTGGGACCTGTGGGCCTACACCTTTGTCCAAGTTCTTCAGCAGTGGGGGAGGGTGTAAAAGGATAAGCATTATCCTTAAGAGATTGAATCCTAGGAGGACTCTGTATGGAGAAATACAAGTCCTACTAGGATTGTGCCATATGAAACTTATAAAAGCTCACAAGCATCACCTTGGAGGAGGTAATTGAACACGATCTTTCTGAGAACTTAGAGCTTTGTCTATTTTTCAAGTTTTCTAACTTAGGCATCGGAGAGGTTTCCGGCACACACCCGCCGGCTAGCTCACGTTTGTGTTTTCAGGTGACAAAGCGACGTCGTACGGAGGAGCGTGGACTTGGTCAACAGGATTATACGAGGAGAATTATTTCCTCCCCGTACAATATATATGGAAGTTCTGATGGAAATATTTTAGCTAGAGCATAATTAATGCCTAATGGGTTGATCAATGGCAAAAAAGGAAAATATTTTAGACTCCTAAACTTTTTTCATAATAGAACCACAATAATGTGCTATGATAGATGTCAATTTTGATTTGTCACAGATTTAATATAAATCCAACTCCCTTGTTATGTAATTGCGATGAATTTGAAGGTATAAATAAATTGTGGATCCCAAACATTTTTTGGCAAAAAAATATAAAGCAAGATCACTGAGGCCATGAATTAGACCGGAAAAGCTGAAATTAAGCAAAGCAAATCTAAAACTGCATCTAATTTGGATGATTTCATAAAAGACGGTCATGTTTGCTTGGGCAGACATGGTTTTGGAAATGAATTAATAATTTAACAAAATATATAATCTAATGTTTGATTAAAAAAATCAAGATTCAAACTAATAGTTCATTCAGACATGGTACCCACTAGCTCAAGGATCCCGTATCCCCCATGTAGGAGACTATTGAATCCTAATAAGGAGGTGAAATACAAAATAGATGACTAGACTTATTAGTTAAATTATAAAATTAATAAAATTTTATTAGTTTCTCATAATCTTAAGACAATCCCAACATGAGATTAGTTACACAATCTAGAGGGATTGATGATCCCCAAAACTGACAATAGTTAAATATGTTGTTATAGTTATAAGAGCAATCTCACAAACTACTAGGACACAAATTGTACGTGTCTACTTTAATTGAAAATTTGAAACGCAAATTTATTAATTTTATCAAATTTACTTTCTCCGTCTTGCATCCTGTCCAAATCCCCTCTTAAAAAGAAAAAATAGACAATGAAAAAGGTATCCCCATCATTGACAAAATTGATAATCTCATATTTTTTTCACAAGACATTGAACACAAGTTCAACATTAGAAACCGACATTCTATTGTGATGGAAATGTCTTTGTGGACCTGTTCCATATGCTTAAAGAATAAATAATTGGAGTACCAATATTTCTTCTTCTGTTTAGGAGTTCTATAAAATCAAGAGAAGCATAAATTCATTAGAATTCATTGAAAAAAAAACCTTCAAGTCGAACACACAACAAAATAGGTTACATGATAATAAAGTTAATGGTGGGGAGACCCCATACCTACTAATAATAGATAAGACAAATATAGTGGTGATACTACTATATATATTTGTTTTTTGTTTTTTTTTAATTTTTTAAATTTAACATTTTAAATTTATAAAAAAATTCATTGTCTTGTTAGAAGAACTTTATTTTATTTTTATTTGTATATATTTGAATTCTGAATTAGAAGTTCACTTTCTATCTTTCTTGTAACTTTGGAGTATTCAATAATTTTTTTATTTCTATAATTATTTTACTTACTATCTTTTAATTTTATAGAGGTCTAAAAGCATAAATAAGAGAATATTGGTGAAAAGTCCAACCTAAAAAGTGTATAAGGTATTAGATTTAAGAAAAAAAATCTTATTTAGTGGTAAAGAAAAGCTAAAAAAGTAGTTGGAAAAGGTTGGTAACACCGGAAAAGTCACTAAAAAATTTTGCTAGAAAAGTCACAACCAGCAACGGCAATTGGCGACCGCAGATGGTGGTAGTAAGGTAGAGAAATGTGTGATATTCAATAAATAGAGTATTGAATGAGTGACATGTGTCACATTTCAACAAATAGTTAGTGTGGCGAATTTTAATAGATTAACAAATAGGGTTGGTGAGTTTCAATAGATAGACAATAGGGTGATTTCAAGAGAGAGAGATTGGTTGATTCGATTTTAACAAATAATTGTCATTTTAGACAAATTATATTCTTTTGACTCGAAGAGATTAGTGCTTGAGCCTAATGGCCCAAAAGATTTAAAAATTGACCTATAACCTGAGTATCTTATAAATAAACTAACATTCATCAGGAGAGATTACACTTATTATCTGCACAAGTTAAAAGACTTATAAAATATTTATACCAAATGAAGTAAGATTGATAATTTCAATTCAAAGAAAAACTTTAATTTATGTATTTTTTACTTCTATACGTTCAATATTTGAAGTCATTATTTGCAAATATTAATTTGTATTTATTTTACTAGAACCACAATAATTAATAAAGAGTATAGGTTGGCATCTATATATTATACAAAAATGCTATATTATATTACCAAAATGGAAAATTTAGTAAGGAGCCTTATAAGAGTTTCAATATCTCATACTAATTTTTTTGATTTTCTTAATTTTAAATAATTAAGAAAATCTTCATTGGCTAGCTTCTATTTAACCATATAAACATAAAATTCTAATTAGTCTATGATTTATTTGATAATCCCACATTGAGAGAAGAAGGAAAAATTGAGTTATTTTACTCATATAAAATGAATCTTATACTCTCATTTAATATTGTAGTGTTGTGCATGTTTCAATTCAATATATTTTAAATTTTAAAATAAAATTTAAAAGTTCTAATTAATTAATTTTTTTGTAAGTTGGTCGGTCTTTTGACCTAACTGATTAAGCTAAATCATTATTTTTAATTTCACTAATTTGTTGGCTTAGCCGCGATTTTAGCAATTTTATCAAAATATATTGATTAGATTTGTTTAATTCAAAATAAACTAAAGATTGATCTAATTAAAGATTGAACGACTGATATTGCCTGATTAGAAATAAAATTCCCACCCAAATAATTATTAACTTTTATTTTATAATCCCACAACGGAAAATGAAAGAAAAGTGAGTTGTTTCACTTATATAAAGTGAACCTTAATTTGTAGACTTGTAGTGTTGCGCATGCTTCAATTCAAGGCAGTTTATATTTTAAAATTAAAATAACATCTAAAATTTTTAATTAATTAATTTTTATATAAATTGGTTGGCCATTTGACCTAACCGATTAGGCTGAACCGGTTTTGGTTTCACTAATTCGCCGGTTTAACTACGATTTCTCATATTGATTTTCTTAATTTTAAACAATTAAAAAAAATTCATTGGCTAACTTTTATTTAACTATATAAAAATAAAACTCTAATTAATTTATGATTTATTTTATAATCTCACATCGGGAGAAGAAGGGAAAAAAATAAGTTGTTTTACTTATATAAAGGTACTCTCATTTAATATTATAGTATTGTGCATAATTTAATTCAAGACAATTTAAATTTTAAAATAAAAACTCTAATTAGCCTATGATATGGTTTATTTTATAATCACACATCAAAAGAAGAAGGAAAAAGTGAATTGTTTCACTTATATAAAGGAAATATTATACTTCCATTTAATATTGTAGTATTGTGTATATTTCAGTTCAAGACAATTTAAATTTAAAAATAAATAATTGAAAGTTTTAATTAATTAATTTTTGTATAAGTTGGTTAGTCTTTTGACCAACCTGATTAGGCTGAATCATTTTTGATTTGACTGATTCGCTGATTTAACCATGATTTTAGCGGTTTTATCAAAATATATTAGTTAGATTTGTTTCATTTGAAATAAACTAAAGATTGACGTGTTTAAAAATTGAATGACTAATTGCTTGATTAGAAATAAACTTCCTACCCAAACAATTGTTAACTTTTATTTTGCAATCCTACATTGAAAAAAAAAAAGGGGGAAGAAAAGTGAGTTGTTTCACTTATATAAAATGAATTTTATGCGCATATTTAATATTATAGTGTTATGCATGTTTCAGTTCAAGACAGTTTAAATTTTAAAATTAAAATAACTTTTAAAAGTTTTAATTGATTAATTTTTGTATAAGTTGGTTGGTCTTTTGACCTAACCTATTAGGTTGAACTGTTTTCAATTTAACTGATTTGCTCGTTTAACCGTGATTTTAGCGATTTATCAAAATATATTGGTTAGATTTGTTTGATTCAAAATAAACTAAAAATTAATTTAATTAAAGATTAAATGATTAATATTGTTTGATTCGAAATAAACTTCTCGCCCGAACAATTGCTAATTTTTATTTTACCCAATTCCACATCAAGAAAAGAAGGAAAAAATTATTTCAATTATATAAAGTAAAAATATATACTCCCATTTAATATTATACTGTTTTATATGTTTCAGTTAAAAATAGTTTAAATTTTGATTTAAAATAAAATTTAAAAATTTTTATTAATTAATTTTTGTGTAAGTTAGTTGGTCCTTTGGCCGATTTTAACAATTTTATCAATATTTCTAAAAGTATGTTTAAATTTTATGACTAAGCAATCGTTTGGCATAGCAAATTTTGGGGCTAAAAGACTATTTTAGCCATAAAAATATAAAATAAGCTAAAAAATCAATAAGATAAAATGTCAAATTCAAGCTATAATCATTTCATTTTTTCTTTCATAAAAATTAAAAAAAAATCAAAAAGTCCATCCCAAACGAGATTTTAACTCCAGACTAAAATAACCAAAGAGCCGAAAAATAAAAAAATCGACCAACATTCCAAACGAAGCCAAACTTTAACATAGAACAAACTAAAACTAAAAAATTTATAAAATGAAATTTATTTTTATTTTATCTAAAATAATTTTTTTTTTAATTTATTATATTTTTTTCATCTTTACCAATTAAATTATGACATCTATTTTTTATTGTGAACTTAAAATATATAATTAATAACATAACAACAACAACAACATATATTCTAATAAAATGGTTCAA